TGCCACGAAAATAGTGAGAGAAAGAGGAGGTATAGTGTCACAATAAAAAAATCGAGGTTATAATGACCACTCTCATCACGAATTCATAGCGAGAAAGAGGAGGTATAGTGTCACAATAAAAAAATCGAGGTTATAATGACCACTCTCATCACGAATTCATAGCGAGAAAGAGGAGGTATAGTGTCACAATAAAAAAATCGAGGTTATAATGACCACTCTCATCACGAATTCATAGCGAGAAAGAGGAGGTATAGTGTCACAATCAAAAAATCCGAGCTTATAATGACCACTTTCATCACGAAATGAAAGATAAATTTCAAGTAAAACGAAAAATGCGGTTCGCAACAGATGTTTCGCGACCATGTGGAGTTTATCTAGCTAGCACGACGCTATTTACGACTAGCATATGAACTAACGCAGGCTCAACAGTTGAACTATTTAGCGGACTTGATTATTTTTGCTCAGTTTGCGTTAAAAAACTACTATAAAGTATTTATATGCTTCATGTTCACTATTTCACAAAAGGTCAAAAGGTTATTACTAAGAACATGTCTATATGCGTTTATGCACGTAATCGGAATAGATAATGCCAGATCCCTATCGGGAATCGTTATAAAGTATCCGGCTCTTGATTAAGTGGATATGTTTATGACAGTTTATAGATACGTTTATACGGTACTACTAAAGCCGCAGGAGTTTCGAGAAAAGTGCTTACGCAACAATATAGAAGAGATCGCTTGCTAGCAAGTCGTTTCGTAGCAATATAGATGAGGTAGCTTGCTAGCAATCAAGTCCTTTCGTAGCAATATAGAAGAGATAGCTTGCTAGCAACTACTTTCGTAGAAATGTAGGTGAGATAGCTGGTTAGCAAGTGCTTATAGAAGAGATAGCTGGCTACCTGGCACCGCTACCACAGGATTGACTTTGTTCAGCAGTAGACAGTATAAAATACAGACTCGGCTACGCTCGTGGTTACATCTTGCCAGGCTTTGCCTACTATACCCTGCTGAACGAATTCTCGCGCTCCTGGAACAAGATGTTACCTAAACAACGTTCGGCTCGCTTTGCAAAGAAAATTACAGCTGTCTCTAAAACGAAAAGAAATCACCGTTTGTCGGGGGTTAAGAGTGTTATCTTTGCGAGAGAGCAGGGATGATATTTAGCTACTTTTACGTAGAAAAAACCCAGATAATTGCCCTGCGATCTCATGAAAGCGACAACACGAACATTTCACATCGGGTTTGCCTCAGTAAGCGACCGTATCGGCATGCATATAACCAGGGGAAATACAAAAAAAAGCATATACAAAAGACTATGAAATATAAGTGACATTTGTCATTATTAACCCCTGATATAACGTACACTCACATTCAATCTTCACGAGATTACACTGAAGTATCAAGTAAACTGCATTTCACCTCCGCCATTCATATTCTTGCTCTGCTCTACCGCAATTTTACCCTACATTTACTTAGCAATTATTCATGCACAATTTTATTGCGGAGCAGGTCATGTATAAATGTATGCAATCATTATATCCTTTAGAAATTATATTCACTATCTATCTAGCGCTGAAGCTTAGTAGTTTTGATTGCCTACACCATCGCAGTCCTATATATTATTTAACACTATACCCGCTGTTCTAATGATCTTATTAAATAATGATATGTGCCATTGGCGTTCGCGTTGAATTACCGCACGCCAAGTACATAACGAGTCATTGTTCCCAAAATATACCGCAAGCATACTTATGAAATAAATTTAACAACCCTGTTGGGTGTAGAATTGTGGGCACTGAACCCCCACTGGCTGTAAATTTGATGTTCTCAACAGACTTAGAAAGGAGACGTTTATAGGTCCAATAATTATTACCCATCTACTGTCTATACATACCTACCTACCCACCTATTACCCACCTACTACCCACCTACGGTTTTAGCTTTATAGTTATTTTAACATAGTTAAATATGACACTGAAATCTGTAGCTAACACCTAATTAACTGTGATAACTATATCTATTTTTTAAAAATAAATTACTTCTCATCATTCATCCAGATGGAAGACACAGATGGAAATGTTTAAAATACAACAGCCAACAGCGGGCGATAATTTAATACAAATGACGACAAAAAACGTCACATATAGTTACGAATATCGAATATCGAATAAACGTAGGTGTCCCGCTTCACACGCTGTGCCCAGTTTACATCTACCGCCCACGCTACGCGCGAGAGCTAATGATGCATGTGTGCTTGCAAGACGAACTTGCGCGAATGAGGCTCATTTATGCCATCTGTCAGACAGTATTTACGTTGAAACGTTCCCCTCTCTGGGGTCTGCGCCTACGCTCCCTCGAATCGCACATATAAACTCAGCCAGGGCAATTCCCGGGCTGGCGCTACTGCATGCGGTGTGTACCACTTGGGGGAAGGTAACGCGATCTAGATTTATCATTTGGATACAACTAAGGCAGAGATTGGCACCGTTTTTTTTCTCTTATCCGGTATAGGCCAACGAAGACCTATTTGTTTTCCATGTGGCAACACTAGCAGCAATTCATCTCCCAGCTGTTAACGGTTTCTTAAACTTCGTTAGTTTTGTTTCGGGAGAAAGAATCTATGAAAAGTGATACCCCGTCGTGAAGTGTAGACGGTGTATGCCAAGTCTTCGCTTAATCCACATTCGGGCTGGCACGTCGATATTCCACGTTATCGCTCCCCCGCCATCAAATTTGCAAGAATCTAATAAAAGTCACACTGCCATATTTTCAGGAGTGCCATAATATCACGAGCTAATAATACCCAAAGATACCTAATAAGAGGTATTATAAGAATAAGAATACTGAATAAAAGGTATTATACGAATAAGAAAGCCTAATAAGAGGTATTATTAGCTCTTGATAATATAGATGTCTATTATTATGACACTCCTGGTATTTTTTCTATCCAGGAGGGACGCTGAGCGATGCATGGAGAGATGTGCTGTACGCTTTTGATGGCGGTACAGATAAAGTCGCGATTGTTGTGATGCTGCACGCATACGTCGTATCGGCACGCGATCAATAGATGCTTCCACATGGACTAGTGTCCGTCGGAGGAGAAGCCGGCCGGCCTCTGGCGCGATAGTTTACGCTACTTCTCCGCAAAAGTGGGTCAGCTCTTGCTTTCAAAGAAACCCCAATTAAGACGGTGATTAACGCTGATCCTTTCCACATGCGGGTGCTCCGGTCTGGCGGAAAGCGAGAGCTGTATAGGCGAGACCATAACCCTGCTTATATTTGTGGATCAAGGCCGAACATACACGCGCGCGCAGGGCAGGATGCGGCGAGAAAATCTCTATCAGTGATGAATAAGATGCTGTGATGTTGTCCATAGTAGACGCATTTTCTCCTGATCAAAACCCGCGTTGTCAGAGCCGTCGGGTTTTGCAAACCTTTTACTCGAGCTTCGCAAGAGCACCTGTCTTCCACACGACCAAACGATTAGTCGT